CCATCTTCTCTCTCTACCCCATCTACTGTAATTCATTACTCTCCTTGTTTATTTTCCCATTCCCCTCACAACCTCTTATATGTAATTTTGTATAGCAATGAGGGTCTCCCTTCATTTCCATGCAATTTCCCTTTTCTCTCCCTTTCCCTCCCATCTCATGTCTCTGTTTAATGTTAGTCTTTTCTTCCTGCTCTTCCTCCCTCTCTGTTCATAGTTGCTCTCATTATATCAAAGAAGACATTTGGTATTTGTTTTTTAGGGATTGGCTAGCTTCACTAAGCATAATCTGCTCTAGTGCCATCCATTTCCCTGCAAATTCTATGATTTTGTCATTTTTTATTGCTGCATAGTACTCCATTGTGTATAAATGCCACATTTTTTTTATCCATTCATCTATTGAAGGGCATCTGGGTTGGTTCCACAGTCTAGCTATTGTGAATTGTGCTGCTATGAACATCAATATGGCAGCATCCCTGTAGCATGTTCTTTTTGACAGCAAGACTTTAATGGCTGATTTTTTGTAATTGTTTCCTGGAATCTTACCTATTTTGTAGCCTTACTTATTTTTTGATGCCCTGATTGATCATGTGCTGTAAGAGACTTCTACTCTTGAGTTTCTGTTTTTCCTTAGAGTTCTAGTAGTTTCTAGCCCCTTGATTTATGGGACACTATGTTAACTCACACATGCATGTTTTTCATTGTGAATTACAATGTGTACAACTATAAAGTTTCCTCCACTAAACTAAAGCTCCCTTGCTCTGAATTCAGGCATGACTGGCATAAAAATGACAACTCTCACTTTCTTTTTGTTTACACTTGTCTGGATTGCTTTTTTGCTCTTCCTTTTATTTTCAGTCTTTCTGAATTGTCAATCACTTTTTTTTTCTGTCAATCACTTCTTAAGCACTGGACCTGACTAATGTATATAGCAGATATTTGAAAAAATAAACCACAAGGATGTTTTAGCTATGAAAAAGGCAGTCAGAATTCTTGAGAAAATTTCCATTTAAGCTTTCTTCCTTATAAGAAATCAAGAAAAATGGCCCTGTGCCACCAAAAACATACTTCCTATGCCCAAGAGGGACACAGAAGCAAAGGGTTACATGATTTTCCCACAAAGAAATGTGGAAGAAGCTCTCTTCATGACTGTGTATTTGTCTCTTTCCTTTTAACCGTTGCAAAGCTGAAAATTAGTTATCAGACCAATTTAGACTTCTTGGAATATATTAACCCTTTGAGTTAAGTTAGGTTTCCTATGGTCTCTTCTTGCTTAAAAATAATATTTTTGTAGATAGCAAACCAAATTGTCATGGAACATGTCAAATTGTGCCATTTAATTACTATACTTTGTTGTTAACTGTCCTCTGGCCAATAGTTTTCTCTTAATCATTATTGCAACTGATAGGTCATTAAAATTAATCTTGAGAAAAGTTCAAAAAACCTATCATTGCAATTATCATAATCAAATTCTATTAAGGACCCATCAATTAATTCATTTAAAAATATTCATTTATGGAGCAGGTTGTGCATTGTCATATTCTGCAACTAAATTCATTTTCTCATTTAATTCTTACAAATTTATAAGTGCTATCAAGCCATTCTTACAAGTGAGGGACACAGAAGCTCTTTAATTCATAAAGGACAAAGCCATAATTCCAACCCAAGTCTATCCAGCTCTAAATCCCTTCCTCTTCCAATACACCTTATAACTTCACCCTAGAAGCAATGTGTGTAGAAATATTGATAGATGGTATCAATGCTCTGGATGGCAATTTGAGATTTTATACTCTGCTATTCCTAAATAATTCATGTTAACAACAAAAGGTTAAAAAAAAAAAAAAGAAAAAAAAGATCTAAATGTATCAAATGGTATTCAGTGGTGCATACGGAAGACCAGGGTAGGTGCTCTCTACTGACTATGATAATTTCTCTTTTTGGATCTAAATAGACCTATGAATATCTGTATTATTTAGTCCAAATTACTTTTCTCCCTAACAGAGAGCTTTTTTTTTTGTAGTGATAGTTTAATGGTACGACCATTGTCTTTATCAAAAACCTTACAAGAAGAGCAAAATAATACATATTTCCCCATTTGTGGAAAGCCACCAAGAAATCAGAGTGGAGTCTTATGTGGCATAGTGAAGTGGGATCAGGACTCAGAAATAATGCAGGAAGGTATTTTTTAAAGAAGATGCAGTAAAAGAGAACTTACATGAACTGATGAAAAACAAAGATAAATACTAAAGACATCCTCCAGTTTCCCAGGACCCAAGGCTGACTCAGGGCTTAGAGAGACACTCACATGCATGGCCATAGTCTCCCTTGTGGATCATTTTGATGACAGATGCCATACTTAAACTTTACCATTCTCCCCATTTTCCTTGAAAACCAAGAAGCTTCTTTTATGTTTCTAATAGTTACTGATGTCTTTAGATGCAAAGCACACAACATCATTATAAAAATACACAGGTTAATTCATGTCTATTGTAGTAAATTTAATTAGATAGAATTGATATCTTAATTTTGCAAATAAAAGACTGATCAAAATTTCCAGTGCTACCCGCGCTCGCAAGGTAGGCAGGCCTGTGACCTGTGACCGACTGGAGGAACAGGCCCAGCGGCCTGCCGGCTTGGTAGACACGTCACCCCAATTGGAGTAGGGGCAGAGCAGAGCCGCCTCCTGTGCCCGGAACAGGCCCAGCGGCCTGCCAGCGTGGTAGACACATCAGCCCAATTGGAGTAAGGGCAGAGAAGAGCCTCCGCCCGCGCCTGCAAGGTAGGCAGACCTGCGACCGACCGGCAGAACAGGCCCAGGGGTCCGCGGGCGTGGTAGACACGTCACACCAATTGGAGGAGGGGCAGAGCAGAGCCGCCACCTGCACCTGCAAGATAGGCAGACCTGCCACCGACCGGCAGACCAGACCCAGCGGCCTGTCAGTGTGGTAGACAGATCACCCCAATTGGAGGAGGAGCACAGCCGCCGCCCGACACTGCAAGGGAGAATTTTCAACTATACAAGAGCAATATAAATATATAGGGGGAAAATTTCAAAAACACAACAGTTTCACCAAGCAGAAAGAAAGGCGAGCAGTATGAAAAGACAAGGAAAGAAAGGACCACAAGCAATGCAGGTCAACTCAACTTTAGAAGAGGTAATAGCTGCAGCAGATGGAATGTCAGATAAAGAATTCAGGATATACATGCTTCAGATGATCTGGAGTCTCAAGGAAGATATTAGACAGCAAAATCAGACAAAGAAAGATCACTTCGACAATGAATTACATAAATAAATCCAAGAAGCAAAAGATCAACTATACAGGGAGATAGAGGTTATAAAAAACAAACAAACAGAAATCCTAGAAATGCAGGAAGCAATAAACTAACTTAAAAACTCAATTGAGAATACTACCAGCAGAGTAGAACACTTAGAAGATAGAACATCAGACAATGAAGACAAAGTATTTCAACATGAAAAGAACATAGACAGCTCACCAAGACTGTTAAGAAACCATGAGCAGAACATCCAAGAAATATGGGATAACATAAAGAGACCAAACTTAAGAGTCATTGGGATACAGGAAGGTATAGAGGTCCAAACCAAAGGAATGAGCAATCGACAGCCCTGGACCTCTGGCTGCAAAGTCAGTGCTCTTCCCCTCTCCAGAGGTGAGGCTTCTAGCTCAGGAGGAGTATGAGTTGGTAAAAGGCAAACAATAGTGAGCATCACAGCATCAGAGAGGGCAGAGGCATTAGGATCTGTCATCATAAAAGGGAGACCCTCATCTTGAAGCATCCAGATATTTGGACAGAGCTCCAAGGTGCACGATGAAGTTATGAGGAAGATGCTGAAGATGCTAGAAGGGGACTGCAGGCTCTGAGTGCCCTCTCTGAAGATCCAGGAAGAGGAATAAGAGGAATTCTTCTTAAGAGGGCCATTTCTCTTCATCCCTCAGTCCCCATCGGGGGTCAGGGGTTTGTTTTAGGTGGACACAATATCTTTATTTTACATTTACGTGGTACTGAGGATTGAATCCAGTGCCTCATGTATACTAGTGATTCCAACATGGCGGCGGGCGCGGAGAGATCAAGTCTCTGACCTCTTCCCCTGTGGAGGCATAGGGAGTCGTAAACAGCCTAAATCTGGTTGCTCAGGATCACTAGGCAATGCTGAGCTGATGTGGATCTGGGGCGAACAGTCTGGGCCTCTCAGAACATACACTGAGCCCAGATCGGCTGAATTCAAGCTCCCGTTTGCCTGCTTCCTGCAGACAAACAGCTGTGACTCAGCACTAATCCATCCGTCTGAAACAACTGGTCAGCCCTTCTGATCCTACGGAGGTAATGCCTACCGAGCCTTCATAGGTAGTGGCCACAGGTTTGAAACGGGGCTTGGGAGAGACAATAAGGACCCACTCGTTGCATTGATCACCCGGCAAAGGGAAACGAACTGTCGCCATTTGCAAGAGATACCACCATGGCAGAGAACTGACGTCATCAGACTGCGGCAGAGGAGATAACTTCATTGAAACCTACGGCTACAGGTGTGTAATTCCCTAGCCTTCCCTCTCCACACATCGGGGAAACCTTAAGGGCCAATCCCAGCTCTCCTGTAAGGGCCTCTCCCAGCTCTCCCGTGAGCACGGTAGCCAGATCGAGGGAATTAGAGGTGGCTCAGGACCCGCAGCGCGGAACTACCGCTCCCACCAGTGCTGACAGCTGAGGTCTCTTGCACCAGCTACCGGTGGCGTGGCTAACAGAGGGGCAGTAAAATTCGCTGAGGATTCTCAGCCCCAAGCTCTACAAATTTAGGGTCTGAGGGAATGGCAAACAGGGAGAGTGTGCCCAGTCATTCCTGACAACAGGGCTCCCGGGAGCAGCAGACCTGGCGTGTACCCAGTATTGTGGTGAGCGGCACCGGTGAGAGGGGCCTGGCTAGAGGAAAAGTAGGGAAGTGTCTAGACACAAGAGGAGGCCCTAGGCACTCAGGATTGGAGACTCACCCAGACTGAGAGGAGGAGCTGCTGCACAGTGATTGGTTTCCGCGTATTGACAGGAGAAACTTGGCCTGGTGGGCACAGCGCCACCTACTGGAAGAGAAGTTAATCAAACTCTAAGACTGCATTTATTAGTTTTTTTTTTTCCTTTTTCTTTACTCTTTTTTTTTGATTTG